TTATACCTCGATTTTTTCATAAGGGCGGTTCAATATTTTTCCTTTTTATACAAACAAAATATTTCTTAAAATTTCCATGATACTTTTCTTTAGAACTATGTTTAATGTAGTTTTCAGTTCCATATAGTTTTTCAAGTTAAAAGATTTTAATCTATATGAAAATCCAGAGAGAAACTAACGCACTTCCTACCTCTATGACTTTACCCGCTAATGGGGAAAGCATGTGAAGTGTTGCCATAGGAAAAGAGTTCTGCTCTACGCCACCTGCAGCCCATTTCGATCGCCAATAAAAAATTACCACAAAACTGGGCAAAATGTGAATATTGTCTTTATTACTCAACATTAATACCACGTGTAAATAGAGCACATTTGAAAACTAAATATAAAATCTGTCGCCAAATCTAGATCAGTCGCCAAAATACTATGCAATACACAGTATATCCCTTCCCCAAACAGTGATGTCATTTTCGACTAATAGCGTGATCCGGCCCAAGTGAGAATTAATCGCTCGTCTCATCATTTCCTGAAACGCTAAGTGAGCTACAAACATGTCCTTGTGTTGCTTTTTTTTCTTTTTCTTTTTAAAAGATGTCAGGTAGAAAGTTGAATCCGTTTAAACTGATCGCACTGAAGTAAATTTGTTTAATAGCATGATTTGAAAATGCAGGGCACAACTGAAATTACTATTTCAACTGACAGAGTTTTTTTAAGTCATATTATATTTAGTTTTGTTTTCAAATCTGTCGTGAAGTTAAATAACTAAGACTTCGAATGAAAATGTCTTGTAGTTTCGTTCCTACCCTTGTACGTAAATAATTATTTTATTTTGTTAATCCTGTATAATTACTTATTTTCATCCTATAATATACCTATTATTTAATGTAGCACTTCAGTTTTAATTTTTCTGCGATACGTTCCTCTTATTTTGTTTTTTTATTCGTTGTATAAATGTTATATAAATGTTTTTTAACATATTGATTCTAAAGAAAATTATTAATTTATTGTGTAATTTCCTAAAAAGTTATAAAAACATTCAGTATATAGATTTATCTACCTGTAAATTAAAGTAAAAAATATAATTAAGTCTAGCAAGTACTCCATATTGTTGCAGTCAGTGATTACGTTGGTGCTAAATTTAGTCTTTGTTTATCTAAATATTGGATTAATCCTTAATAATATTCTAGATGTATCCAGATTAGGACTTAAGTTTTTACCTGTTATTCACAAAAATACTGCATATACAACCACACAACGTGTTGATTTGATTTTTCAGCTTCAGATATTCAAAAGTGCTTGCGTTTTGTAACATAAAAACTGTGTTATAGTAAAGTCAGTGCATATTTGTATTCTAATCGCACAAAAGATACACTCATCTGAGGAACCCTAATTTCACCAACTGCGAAAAATATTTTTTAAAAGAAAACATCCCAGAAGGGGACCAACTCAAAGAGTATAACTTGTAGTCCCCTCGGCTATATTAATTTTTACTGGTTGGAAAATACATTGGCAGGGTTAGTTGATACGGACAGGTTCGGAAATATCCTCCAGGGTCCTAAACAAAAATATTTCATTTGAGATTTTTTTTTATTATTTATTTTTATATTACGTGAATGCAAGGAGGACAAGTTTCCTCTTTAGTGGAAATCTACCTAGGAAGAAATAGGTTCCTTTCAACCCATGTGGAAGATTTCAAACAAGTTTAAAAAAAGTAGTTTTGTCAAACCTAATTCTATAACTATATGAAGAACTCTTCTAATATCATTGTCGAATTTTATTAATACTATTAATTTAAACAGTCAGATACTGAATAACATATTTGCTACTACAAATTACATATTGATTTCACAGTTACAAATAGCATTCTAAGTTTATGTTTCAAGATAGAATAATTTAATTTATTGGTATATCTGCTATTAAAATAAAATTATGTTCTGAAGATTCTGTTTTAAAACTAAGAATTAGTTGGATTTTCATCACTATCATATTTTTTGCAAATGAATACTTAGTTAAAAATTAGATTAAATTTTAACTTTGTAGTTCATAAAAAAATGTGCTATTTTTCTCAGTTTTTATTTAACAGTTTGACCACATTGTTTTGCATTTTGATTGATAAACAAGTAAAGAAAGTCAATATTGGATAAATTATCAATAAGATCAAACACCAGACTATGCATCTTGTCTGGGGAAAACTTATTTCTTCCCAAACTCCAGCTAAAATAGGAAAAAGCTAGGCAACATGGAGGAAACTGAAAAATCCCTACCAGAAAATTTAAAACTTTTGCATATTTTCGTTTTTAAAAAAATAGCCATATTTCTATAGTTTTTATTAGTTTTATTTAGAATTGGAAAATGTATATTAGATATCAAATTATCTAAATGTCGGTTTGAGTTTTTTCATGCTTAACAGTACAGTTTGGTTATAAAAATTAGTATGATATTTGTTTATTGTCTGATTTGTAATAGTGTATATTGTTTTTAGTATTTTATTCGTTAATTAAGTTATTTTGTTTTTTTTTAAACAGTTCTTTACTTAATTATAAAATAAAGTTTTACTATACTTGTTAACGTAAAATATTGACAATTACAGTTTTTTTAAGCCATTGAAAAATTAGTAAAATTTATTTTGATTTCTAATTGCTGCTTTTTTGTTGTTACAGATTTAAAAATATATTAAATGGCTTGGAAATTAGTGTTTTTTTTTTATAAACTAGATTGCAATTATAAGCTGTTTAAAAACTTTAATATTTGATATTCCTTTTTGAAAAAGATTTTTTCCACTTCGATTGTAAGAAACCTTTTTTTTATAGGTTGCTTTTTTTTTGCAGTTTTTATCCTCTGTGGAAGAAACTTGCCATCTCTGTCAAAAATAGTTGAAAAACGTTGTCCATGTTTCTAAACTTCAACTTTTTTTAAATGTCACACACAAGCTTTCATGATGAAATTAATGTATTAAATGTTTCCAAAATTATTACTTCCATTATACGAGACAAAAAAAATATTGAAATAAATTATGTTCAAAACAAATTATTGCAGATATTACATGAAAAAAATAATTTCCTATGGTGCTTGTGATTTAAAGATATTTCGCATTTTATAAACATATTTACCCAATTTTTACTGTAAATTCATTTTATTTATCTTATATTTTTATCTAGACTGAAGCAAAATTTGAAATAACTCCAGGAAGATGGGTTGGTGCAAAAAATCCTTGTTTCATTATTGCTGAAATTGGACAGAATCATCAGGGTGATATTGAAACAGCTAAACGCCTTATTCAAGCTGCTTATGTGAGATATTCTAATTTTATTAACTTCATAAATTATTTATTAATTGTTATGCTTTTTTTTTGTTATTATGGTATGAAACACAAATTTAAAGGATTTAAAACTGTTTTACCGCAAATGATTTTAGTTTATTAATAAATTTTATTTGCTTCACTTAGTAGGTAAAGATTTTCTAAGATGTCTCTGTAAAATGAATCAATCTGATCCCTATACGAAGAACATCTTAATGATATATAACTCAAGGATTAGCTTTTTTTACCATTCAGATATTTTAAATCTTCTGTTGTATTTTAAATTTATCAATCTGAAATAAATATTATTATGCTATTTTAAAATTATTTGCAAAAATTAAACTTTTATTGACTAGATACATTATATTTTACTTCGTGAAATAATTTTTGAAAGAGTAATCGATTGTTTTGACGCATGTCAGAATGTAACAGTCTGAACAGGTGCTATTATTTTAGCAGAAAATTAATTAGGAATTTTAATCTTATTTATTCCAGTGCCATAACTTCATCCCTCAGGGCCCTAGGGCAAAAATTTTTGGCGGGGGCCCTTTCAAAAACTTTCTGTATGCCATCTCTAACCGTCATTTTAACTATCTATGTATCATATTAGCGAATATATTTATGAAAACAAGTTACTTGTTCGCATATAAATTGGATTAAAAAATATTGTAAGTTTTCCCCATGGCAAAATACAAAATTTGAGAAAAATTGGTTAATACTGAGAAATTAAATTTTAAAAAAGTTGTACATAAACTCGATTTCTCAGGAACTAATCAACCAATTTTGCTAAAATTTTGTATTTTCCATGTGGAATTAGATACTGTAAAATGATGCAAAAAAAAAAAAAAAACTATTTACCTTACAACTCAAAAGTTTTCAGACTATTATTAAATAAAAAATTAATAAATATTTACTAAAAGTTATTTTTTGCATGGAATTATCTTTGGATAAAAGAACTTTATAATCATGTACAAAATTTTTTCAATTCCCTTAAAAAGATCTCGAGCTGTGGCGAAATACGATAAAATGAAATTAACATTTGGGGGTCCATACTTTATTTAGCTCGCCTGACCAAATTATTGGGACCATATATCCCAGATTAAGGCTACCTCCTATATTACAGTGGTTAGAAAGTCGAATCCGTTGAACTAAAGTTATGTTTATTCAGAGAAAGCATGTTTTTTTGTCTGATTATGCAACTTAGAATAAAATATCGTCTGTACTATTTAATTTACATATTTGAGTTCACACCCTCGAACTATTACGATGGAGTCCTAGATCATAAAGATCCGATCATTAAATCAAAAGTGTTTCAGGGTGGCCCTTTTGTCCCCCATGTCCACAGTAGCCCCCTTTTTCTCTAAATATAATGCTAATCATAAAATAACAATTTTACAAATCTCTTGAATCCGGTTACTATATCGCTATTACTTTTCGTATTATTTTTTAGTTTGAAATCTAAAAATTTCAATTCGCGTTATGGAAATTGAAGGAAATTATAGACTTTTTTTTTATCAGCACATATACTCACATTTTAAAAAGTCAGAATTGAAGAAATATCCAGAATTTTTTGTCTCTATGTACATCAATCATCGATTAAAAAAACAAAGTTGTCATACTCCAATATGGACAGGTCCCTAAAAAATATAGCTATATTTCGAAAAGAACTCATTCTTGAATATTGGGCTTATGTATTCATGAGGCCAAGTGATCATATATGGCTAAGAGTAATAGTTTTTTTTTTTTAATATTCCAAAACGAAAAATGAGAAAAAGTCAAAGCATTTTTGCTGATTAAAAAAAAATTCTTGTTAATGGTTTGTCATGACAATGAATTTTAGCTTTTTTTATTAAATTAAATAAGATTTTTTTTATTATAAAATTAAAGGTTGCATTTCATTTTTTAATAAAAACAAAGTTGTTAGAAAACCTAAAAAATTCGACGCCCCAGTTTTAAAAATTTAAAGGTCTTAATAATTTAAAAAATATAAAATAAGAACAAAATCCATGCACACAAATCTGTTTTCCTAGAGCATCTAGATAGTTGCTTGTTTAAGACAACTTATCGGACATATAGGTGGTTTGATAAATACATGATATTTTATAAAAGTACAAAAGAGCCCAGGGTCATAAAAATGATTAAGGCAGTTTAAAGAAGCAAAAGGACATTTTCCCATAGTGTAAAAGGAGATGGCTATTTTATGAGGAGTCAGATAACTGTGGGTCAACTCTGTGGGAGCTATAGTCAGTGTAGGATGGGTTATCCAGAGTATGGTAAAAGAGTGGCAATTATTTTAGTTTTATAAACACTTGTTTTATTTTTTTTAATGCTGTGCTCTTCTTCTCTTTTCATATTTTAGATTAAAATTTTTTAATACATTTAAAGTTGTCATACTAATAAATATAAAATTATTATGTTTATTAGTATGACAATAATAGTAGAATAAGAACAATATGGATTTTTTTCTTATTTTATATTTTTTTAAAGTAGAAAAAAATTGAAATAAAACAGAAGTATTTTTCTCCCGGGGGGGGGGGGGGGTTTTTNTATTTCAATTTGGAAAATAGCTAGTAAATTGGAAAAAAAGTAGTTTCTTTTTCTGAAATTACTAAGTCTATTTTACTTTATTGTAGCGAATGCCAAACTTTCAGATGGATATTCGGAACATTATCTCAATTAAATTTCAGAGGAAAATTTAATTGATGGAATTTCAAATTTCCATCTCAATTAAATTTCAGAGGAAAATAAAGTTTTCGATTTTGAAAATAGCTTTAAAGTCGAAAATAAGAGTTAAATATTAATTTTACTTGACTTTATTTTTGCGAATGTCTGAGTATCAGAAGGGGTGAAGTATATTCTTCACCCCATCACTTTAATTTAAGAGGAAAATAAAATTTTATTTTTGGAAAATAGCTTCAAAGTTTTTATATTTTATTATTTTTTTAAATAACCAATTTTACTTGACTTTATTGTTGCAAATGTCTAAATTTCAGAAGATACAAAACACATTTTTGCCCTCCTTACTTTTATATCAGAAGAAAATAAAGTTTTCTACCCCCTCAATATAATTAAAGAGGAAAATGAAGTTCTCTATTTCGAAAATAGCGTCGAAGTTTTAAAACAAAATTTTTTTTTCTAAAATTTTCAGCTTTACTTGATTTTATTCTATTAATGTCTAAATTTCAGAAGATGCAAAAGTGATTTTTCACCCCCTCCCTTTTATTTCAGCGGAAAATAAAGTTTTTTATTTAGAAAATAGATTCAAAAATGAAATTTTTTTTAATTACCAATTTTTATTATTTTTGAGCACATTTATTATTTTTGAATTGCAGAAGGGGCGAAACACTCTGTTCACCCCCTCATTACTATTTCAGAAGAAAATTGAGTGAAAATTGGAAATAAAATATTTTTCTACTTTTATTTGACTTTACGCATTAATCACAAGTAACAAAATAAAGCTTCCTACTTGGTGTATAGCTTCAAAGTTGAGAAAGAATAGCTTTTTTTTCTCTAAAATTACCTATTTTACTTAACTTCGTTTTGGTAGATGTCAAAGCACATTATTCGACCCCCTACTTAAATTTCAGAGGAATATTAAGTTTTCCTTTTGAAAAATAGCTTCAAAATTGAAAATAAAGGAAAAAACATTTTTTTAAAGTACTGATTTTACTTGACTTTATTTTTCCAAGTATCTAAATTTTAGGAGGGGCGAAACACATTGTTTGCCCCATCTCTTAGATTTTAAAGGGGTCCTCTGCCTCCTCCCGGTTGGCACGCCACTGAGTCTGACACTAGATAGTAGAGGAAACAACTAAGTAAGCCAGAAGTGCAATATACTGAAAGTGTTAACAATCAACAACATGCAGCTGTGGCCTTTCCCCTTCTCTGCAAAGCATGTTTGTTCTTTTAAGAAATGGAAATAATTCTTGGAAATGGAATAATTTTACCCTTCCCTTTATGTTGAAGTAGATATGCAATTAGGAAAAAGAAAATTTTGATCAATTCTATCTTATCACAATTTCTTTCCTACATGTATTTATTTAACTAGAGTACTTAATTTTTAAAAAACATGATGTGGTCCTTGCATAAGGGACCCCGACTGCCCTGGCCTAGTTACGGCCCTGATTTATTCATCCTTGAAATAATTTTAAAATAATTGAAGTATTTTCTTATATGTTTGGAAAATATATTTTCAACAAAATGCCATTTTGTTGAAACTATCATGAAATACTTTATAAGGGTAATATTTTTCTCAGAAATTTATTGTTTGAAATAATCTGATGTCATAAAATTAAAAAAAAGTATTATAGTGCTCTTTTGAAAAGTATTTTGCATAAGTAGTGCATATAACATAACCATAAGTGAAATTCAAAATTAGTTGCAGTTAACATTGTTCCATTACTACTTTGTCCACGACATGCCATTTTCATGATCAAAACAGTTTTTTCACGATCACTTAAAAAAAAGGTTAGATTTTGCTGACAAAAATTTTTTAAGCCAGTAAAACGTGCATTCCATGAGAAATTATTCAAACATCTATTAAATAAATTTCTAATGCTTTTCATTACTTTTCATTATGATCCAATTCTTAAAAGAAATTATTATTGTTTAAAATTATGTTAAATTATTTATTTTAGTCTATTTTACAGTAGTTTTTGCCTAAGATGTTCTATATTTTGAATTATATTTTAGTCAGACAATCATATCTGTATCATCTCTTTCTTTGAAATCCGGCACTTTACTAAGTTTCGTCACACTTATGTTTTACTGTGTGTAGTGCATGTTGAAATTTATGATTTTTTTTTTGTACTTGTGAATAGTTTAATCTTTTATTGTAAATTATATAAGAAATATTTTGGACACAAATTTAGATTCTGTGATATGGAATGCCCGTTGAGTTTTTTCTCCAATTGTGAAATTTTGAAACTGATGGAAGCTTCATTTCTAAGTCAAGCAGCTTCATTTAAAATCTTCCATTAATAAATAGCTATAATTTTGCATTACTCTGACAGCTATCATTATTTATGAGTTAAACAATAGTTCTCTAAATTTCAGTTTATTTTTAAGTTAATATGATACTGATTTTTTTAATTTGGTTTCTTAAGAAATATCCGATATTCCAAAAAATGAATAGTATACTCCTTTTTTAGAACATACTATTTTATTAACTTAAAACTTTTCATGCCTTTTCTATTTCATTGATATAATAAGTAAAAAAATTAGAATATTTTTTTATTATCTTCTTTTTTAATACATGTGATGTTTGAAATTATTTTTATGAAGTCAGATTGATTACCAGATTATTATTGATATCTTTTTCTAGGATGCTGGTGTAGATTGTGTGAAATTCCAAAAGTCTAACCTTAAAAGTAGATTTACAAAAGAAGTTTTGAAGAGACCTTATCTCAGTCAGAATTCATGGGGAAAAACATATGGAGAACACAGAAGGCATTTAAACTTCACAGATAAAGACTTTTCTAAGTTACACCAGTATGCTAATAATCTAGGATTGTGTTTTGCTGCGTCAGGAATGGATAAAGTATGTTATTTCATCTCTAAACAACTTAATCTTCTATTTGTTTCATAAACTAAATTTTCTATTTTTACTTGTTGTTACTTTCATTATACTGCATTTTAAGCTTTTTTTCTATAACTAAATTTATTCAAAAAAAATTTCCTTTTTTTCCATGCTTTCTTTGTATTTTTAGCTTAAATATGTTTAATTTTGTGTGAGTTAAAATATCCTGTGTATGTAAAAGAAACACTTATTGCTGTAATCCATTCATAAGATTTAGGTTTTTAGATTGTTCTATTATAATTATAGTTATAATTTGTTTTATTGTTGCCACTTCATTATAATTAGTTTCATATTTTCGTTGCAATTGAATCTCTTGTATAATCAGTTTTTTTAAAAAAATCTCTTTTATTAATTGTATTTAAAAAAAAAGCAAGCGATATTTTTCTGGGAAGTGAAAAGAATGATTAAAACAAAAGAGAACTTTATTTTCAATAAATAAACATTGCATAATTTTATAATTAATTAAATCCACATCACTGCATATTTCTTTTTCTGTCTTTTTTTATTTATCCATAATATCAGTAAATGGATTAGAGTCATTGATGTACAATTTTCGAAAAAATAAATAGATAAAAAGACTGTCATAAACAAGATGTTGTTATAAAATTGTGTCAAAAAATAGTTTTGCTTGAATTGTTTTTGTTTTAATAATAAAAAGAAAGAGATAAAGTGATAGAAATAAAAAAGATATTCCTGTTTAACAGTGAAGTAATGAAGTATCTTTTAATTATAATTTTGTAAGATTTGAAATGACTTAATTATTTTCTAAATAAATTATTATTATTATTTTGAATTAAAAAATAATTATCGTACTTTTGTAAAAACATTGCTAAAAAATTTTCTTTTCTCTTTTTTTTTAAATATTTAATTTTTTTCTAATAAAATCGATAAGCATTTATTAGTATGAAGTATTTGGTTTTGATCCATTTATATGAGTTATTTTTTATAAATTAATTTTTTTACAATAACTTTTTCTTATAGCCATCCATTGATTTCTTAGATGAAATAAAAGTCCCTTTCTTTAAAATTGGCTCGGCTGATTGCACAAACTTACCTTTACTTCGACATGCTTCAAAATACAAAAAACCTCTTGTTATTTCCACTGGAATGGCTGCTAAGGAAGATGTTTGTAAAGTATATTCTGATGTAATCAAAGTCAACAAATCTATTGCTATTTTGCAATGTACAAGTTGCTATCCCACTCCTCCTTCTAATGTAAATCTTAATGTAATAAAGGTAAGAAGTTTTAACTTTTCTAAGTAAATACGTTTCTAGAAAGTGTTTTAATACACTTTTAATATTAAAAAAAAAACAATGTTTCCTTCTCTTTTTTTTATATAAGAAAGCTAATGTAATTTTTTTCTCATACAAGATGATAAACTTGTTTGAAATCAAATTTTGATTTTATTAAACCTTACTCAAAATAACTCAAAATTAAATAGTAAGTATTATAAATAATATATTCACAGAAAAACTTGTAATGCTAAATTTGATACTCATTAATTTATGATTAATTTGCGATTTTATACTCAATGGTTGTGTTCAAGAGATTTTTTTCCCAAAAGAAGTTCTAAAATATTGTTTAAATTTAATGTAATACTAAATGTTGCACCTGCCGTTTTGAATTTTAGTGATCTTATATTGCATTGCTTAAAGTTTCCTGATAAAGTTGCATTTTTATGAATGGGACATAGTCATTGCTATTTCGATTTATAATGGGATACAAAATACACTTAATTATATATTTTCAGTAATTTTTATTTGTTTAAAAAATGTGTATCATTAGAGAATTTTTTTCATCTTCTTTAGTTTTGATGCTTCTGTATTTGATTGATAATTAGAAACTGTCAAAACTCTCCTATAAATTTTTAAATAGTGTAAATTTAAAAATGGATGTGTAAAACATACTTCTATTAAAAATAAATTTTTTGGAACAGTTCTTAAAAATATTTTTTAAAAAATGAAAAGATTTAGGTAATTTTCTCTAAAATTTAACAGATTGTTTAAGTTATGGTTGTTAAAATTTATTTTTTTATAAAAAAAAGTATGTTTTGATTATATTTATGTTTAAAAAAGCATTTTTTTCATTAATTTAGATTGATCATTAACTTTTAATTTGAGATAATTATTTATGATTAAAAGATATGACTGTTTTAGTTATCATCAGCAATTATGATAATAAACATTCAGAAATTAAAATTTTGTACTAACTGAAGAAAATCCTATAAATGTAACAAAACATTCTGAAATGATGATTCTACAGTTTTCAAAATTATTCTATTTTAACATTCTAAAATGGCCAACATTTTTATGAATAAAGGAATAAATGCAGTTTTCCATTCCAAGTTAAATGCAACTTACTTTTGTCAAGATGAATAATAAAGCATAAGTGAAAATTAAGTTAACCTTTCCATGAAATTTAACTGATTACCCCTACGGTAGTTCCTATAATGTGTGAGAATGCTTCTCCCATGTTCACTCTTTCTCTTTCTAATAATGTGAGAAGGCTGGTTTTGCAATGGAGATAAGCACATGTTAAAATGTGGCTCTCACCTGGAGAGTTAAACTTTGTAAATCTTTGAATAATCGCAAGGGTCTAGTAGGCTATAATATAAAAGGATGCTACTTCAATTGCAAGACTAGTATTTTTAAAAATAGGCCTGTGGTTAGAGGTTTCAATTTTGAAAAAGTTTTTTTTTAAAGTTTTAACTGTTTTGGTAATGTATCAATATGACACTCCTTAGTTTTTCTTCTTCCAGGAGGTGAGCATCAGCTTATCGTCCCCAAACTGTCTTACCGACCTTGGTATAAAAACGTGATTTGAAATATTTTGTGTTTTTTTGTGTTGTAGATTGGTATAGTACGCATAAAATAAGTATCAAGATGATATGTTTTGTTTCAAATGTGCTTATTTGACCTTTTGTGAAAGTTAATCTAAATTGAAAAATTTTTAAACAAATTTAATTTTTTGTTAAAATTAATGCTCAACTGAAATCAGAGATGATTGTGCTCCGGAAAAAATTCGGATTTTTCGCTTACAGCAAGCAGGCAGTTTCTGGAAATCCAAGGTCCAGAAGTTTCGAGATATCATCGATCACATTTATAAATAAAAATTCTTGTATATTTTATTTAAAAATATTAGAAATAGAATCTATACTTGCATCTCTTTCATTTGTAAATATTTTTTCTTTTAGAATAATAAATGTGATTCGAGATAAAAGTAAACTTATACATAATTATTCATTCAAATTATGTTACATATAATTTATTTAGAATTTAATGTTTTGAAAATATCAATGATTTAAGTTAATAAAAACATAAATTTTTTGAAATGCATCATTAATGATTTTACTCAAGAAAATTTCAGGATTTTTGAGTTGGGCTCACAATCACCCCTGTGAAATAAAAAACATTTTGTAATACTATTTTTGACAACAGGTCACATTTTTTGACCTAGGAGTCAAGGCTCAACCCCCATGTAGGGGAAAAACTTATCTTATTCATACTGAGACATAACCAAAGTGGGTAACACAAAAAACCTTTGTTGGCAATTTTTCCTAATTGAACTTGCTTTTGTTCCCTAACTACTGGATAAAATGTGGATTAAGAGACTTCAGGTCCACAATAATCATTAGGTACTAATATCTAGAAAGAAGTCCCAATTACAGAGCATAGAGAAATTCTTGTTAGTTATTTTTTTAAGGTTTAAAAAAATATTATTTTCCAATCGTTTTGTGTAAGATACGAAACACTTTTTTTAAACATTTGTTGCATCAATAATCTTATGCTTGCTTTTCTTCTGTTAATATTGCATACTATTTGTCCCATATTATTTATAATTACCTATATTCTTATTATGTATTAATTATCTTATTTTACTTTATTACTAATTAAACCTTAAGAATTATATTTTATTCAAATTCTTTTTTCCAGCCATAATGAGTATCATGTATTTTTAAAATAAGTTTTTATATTATGCGTTTAGAAAAATCTTATTATAAAAATTAGATTGTAGGAATATAAATAGTAAAATATTGTGTTGTAGGATTAAAAATATCTCCAAATTTTAATGGTGCAAAATTTTTTTTCTGTAGAGTTTAAAATTTTATTAATGATATTTTCTATTCAAGTAGAAAAAATGATTAAAATCTTAGAAATGAGAGCAAAGTTTTATGTTGTAAACAATGTAACTTTTGTATGAGAATTAGGAAACTAAATTTGTGATATATTTATCTAATAAATTGAATTAGTTCAAGCAAACATCCTTTAGTTCAAAATAGAGTTTTCCAAGTTTTTATATTATGGTTGAAGTAAATTTGGCTCCACTTTTTTTTTTATTTATGTAAAATTTTTAATACTTATAAAATTTGCATCATTATTATGTTGGAACTTGATTCAGGTTTTAAAAAAATATGTTTAAGTTACATAATATTAAATTATATGTTTGATAGAAACACTGAAAAATGATAAAGATGATTAATTTTAGAGTTGTTTTCTTATTAATTTTATTATTTGGCTCGTTCTTAAGGAAATATTTTATATAAATATATTAAAAATATTTTCTAAAATTATTATGTTTATCAAGTGTTTATTTTATTAGGTTCTTCTGTGTAGATTAACAAAAAACTTCAAGAATTTATTTCTCTCAAGCAGTGCATGCAATTCCTTGTTTCATTTGTATATTTTCTATCTTTTGTGTTTGATGCAGAAATCTGATGTAAGATGTCAATTAAAAACAAACAATTACAAGTAGTAAGTATGTTAAGAAATTATAAGACCTCACAAAATTTTGACAGTTGTTTTAAAAAAATAAGGTAAATACTTATTCTGCACTTTGTGTTTAACAATGTTTTAGGTTTGGACTCTTAAATCTGGAGTTCAACATTTTTAGGGCTGTTGCATTGTTTAACTTTGCCTTACATTTTGGTTTGATATTTGTTTCTATCAGACTATTAGCTTAGTACTAAAACATAATATTTCTGGATTGAATCTGTAATGGGCTAGAGCATTCAGATATGAAACTTAAAGGTGTCTAGTTTGATCTCAGCTGGTGCATGGTTAGATCTCGGCTGGTACTAGCTAACACCTCTCACACACTCTTCCATATATTTGATAAGTTTTATGTACACACTGTTTTAGTATCAGAAATTTACAGATACCTGAACGGTAGAATATTTTCTCATAGCACACTGGGTACAAAATTAAATTTTTGAGACTCAAATATAGATTTTTTAACTTTTCACTTTATTTGAAAACCTGTGATACATTTTCCCCTTCGTGTTTTTTAGCAATGTCTGATTCAAATAAGTCTTAAATCTTATTCTTAAAATTAAATTTTACAGTTTCTGTACGTTTATCTTTTCTTTATTAATAAAAATTCTTTTTTAATTTTTTGAATTTAACTTCATGACATAGTTTTATTTGCTAATATTTAGGATATCTGTTTTTGTTCAAAGACAAAAATTTTTAATGCGTGATTTTTTAAAAAACATTTTATCTTTGCAAGGTGATTTTCTATTAGAGGAAACAAGTTTGGTTGTAATGTGGTTGAAAATGATAGGGAAGATCTTATGGTCTATAATATAATGGTCTATAATATAATAGTCTAAAATATAATGGACAGGTCTATAATATCTAATATAATATTATGCTCCATTAGAGTGCGTTAATATGTAATTTTATTACATCCTGTTTCATTTTGAGCTCATTGAGAGGAAGTGATTAATAAAACCAGACTATCATACTGTATTCACACCTGTCAAACATGAGGAAATACAGGCTTTCATTTTCAAAAGAGGAAGCAAGGTTCCATTTCGAAGCAAAATAAGAGACTGCTTTTGGTGATGGGTTTGTAAATTGACAGAAATTGGAACATGCTCATTTCAATTTTAAAATAAGTCATTAATTAAGTCTAAGCATTATTTATTTATTTTTTTTTTTTTTTTNTTTTTTTTTTTTTTTTTTTTTTTTTTTTTTTTTTTTGAGGGAGAGTTTGAATCAAAACAAATTTAGACTTGAAGTACACTGAATCATTGATTTTACATGAACAGTAAGTATTAGATGTCAAGGGCTTGAAACAAATTAATTCAGGAAACGAAATTTCAAAAATGTGTTTATAAGTTAAGTAAATAGTGACTAATAATTTTTGCATATCTTTTTTATTAATTTGTTCTGTTATTTGTGGTGGAACTGTCAGTGCTTTGATTCTAGCATATAGGAGCAATTGACAAGGGAGCCATTAGTGGCTATAAAATTCCTGAAGGAAGATGTTAAAAAATTTGCCAGGATCAAATATTAGCCAACTCTTACTTCCACATTGAGGTGTACCTTGCATGTGTGGCAATGAAGGAGAGTAGATGGACTAAAAAGAGAACAGATTCATTACAAACAGCTTCTTTTATTTAGAAAAAATTCTTCCAATTTTTCATCATAATTTTTCCACAGAGAGTGGAATTTTCAGAAACTCCATCATGACAGAAAGATTCTCAGAAAGATCATGTGTTACCTTCTTTTCTATTTCTTATTATATGTAAAATTGATTACCCTATCCAAATTAATAAGACTGCTTAAATGCAAGTCTAAGAAAAGCAAGGACATGTGAAGCATAAAAAAGAATTATTTTTCCTGAGCATGCGAAGTAAGAAAAAGACGTTTAATACAATTTCATGTACTTCGAGCATGATTAACAATAGAATGTGTATCAATACAGGAATTTCAGTTTGTTAAGGTTAACTATTACTGTTAAATGCTGGGTGCTAGACTCAATATGAAAATTTATTTAGGAAGGTTAGTTGGTGGATGAATGGTTGAAAATGGAGGGTATTGTGATAGCATCATCACATTATTAAATATCTTATTACAATGTTTTTGAACAATGTTTTTATGCCTTTTATTCATTAAGTTAAGTGCAACCACATTATGGCATTATATACATTTGTTGTGTTCTTCTAGAATAATATGTGGTGATAAAAGAAATTAATAGTTATTAAAAGCATATTTTTAAGAAAATTAAAAATCACATTTTAGTCTTATAGTTTCTTGAACTATATTTGGGGCTGCTAATTTGTTAAAGAAAAGTCTATTTTTAAAATGACTTGGAAAAATCTGTTTAATTTATACTGGAGAAAAATGTGGATGTAGAAAATTATCAGCTGAATAAATCAATTGCTGGAGTTAAGTAAAAAAACTCAAAGTTTTTTTTTTCAACATCAGAGAATAGAAGCTACTAAATTTCTTTTTAATTTATGTGTTCATTTCTTAGTATCTACCACTTTAATTTAAAACTATATTATAATATATCTTTTAGTCTACTTATTATTTTTTTTGGCTTTTTTTACAATATCAAGCAAAAGATATATTTTAGAGTTGTTTAGGCTAGAAAAACGACTATGTGAAATTATTTGTTTGCTCTGTACACAATCGTTGTACACAAAAGTTTGGAGTCTGTAAAGCAATTGGTTTGGCGGGAAGGTCATGGATCAAGGGTAAAAGACTTACAGATTATTGCTGAAAATTTCAGTAAGCATTTGCCCCTTGCACTGCTAAAAAAGCTTTAAACCAATTAAATTTATTAATCACTCTTAAACCAATTAAATTTATTTATTAGTAAAACTCTACTGTTATTATTATTTGTTTTTATTGTTAATTTATATATTTTTAGTGAAGTTGTATTAAAAATTGTCCTGGTTTTCTGTAACACCCAGTAGAAGTTATTTAGCGAGTAAGCAACCTTTGGCATCCGCAGAAACAAAAGATGCAGTTAGGCTAAAAGAAAAATGTGTTTCACAAAAACATATAGCAAATACTTTTGGATTTATTTTTAAGATCAAGAGTTTTTGTTCCAGTGGACAGTTTTAAGGAATATTTTCTGAATGTTTACCATGAATATTTTTCTTTTGTTCTCTCATATGAGAAAAATTTATTTTTTACTCCTACCATACTAGTGTAATTTGAAATATGGTGTTTGTCAAAGTTGACGTTACACCAACTCTACATTGTTGCTCATGCTTTAATGATATATTTTATCATAATAGTCTTTGGCTATTTTCGTTACAATAATAGATCTAATACATTTGAGATACATGAGATGGAGATAAGGTATATTTTAGTATTAGAAAAAATTTAATTAAAATATAGTTTGTAATAGCTGGAAAAACGTTACTATGAAGGATTTAAGTTAAAACTAAAGGCATGAATTAAATTTCTTAAAAGTATGAATATAAATGAATCTTTTAATCCAACCTGTTGGGAGAATTGTATTCTCTCTCATTCCTTTAGAACTATTGAGCAATTACATACTTTGCAATTTTTCCTGTTAATTTGTGAGAATTCATCTGGTAGATTTTATTATTTCTGCATGCATTATCTTTTGTGTTTTTGTTTTTAACATATATTATCTTCTTTTGTAATTTATAGCATAGTTTAACACTATACAGTTCCAGATTCTGTAGCAATCATTATTTATGAATTTATATATTTTTTTAAATTACTTCTTTTTATATTACTTTTGTAGGATTATCAGAAATTATTTCCGCAAGCCGTGATCGGGTATTCTGGTCATGAAGTAGGAATTGGAATAAGTCTTGCTGCTGTTACTTTGGGAGCTAAAGTGAGTTTTAATTTCCCTTTTTTAATCACAATTGATTTAATTATTATCTTCTGTCGGTAAAAGTTATTAGCTATTTAAATGCCGAGATTATTTAAATGTATAGAAAAATGCAGTGATTATTTAAATGCTGAGATCTATGGGGAAAGCTATTAATATCTATAAAATTTTTAACACGCTTCATCAGTGGTAAAGATAAAAGTACATAGAAGTAAATGACATAATTTTTAAGAATTATTCTTAAAGTTTTCTGTCAGAATTTGAGAAATATTATTTTTTAAGAAAAATCATTGAAACCGGTTAAACTTGGGAGTTTCTCTGAATTAAATGAGAGAATTAGCAGGCGAAAATGTTTGTAATGAATATCTCAATCTCCTTAATAAATATCCTATATATATTAAGGAGATATATTTCTACCAATAATTTGAATGATTATTTTAACTTGTTAAAAACATTACTTTTCCAGACTATTTTCCGTTTCTATTGTTGTATTTGTTTGTCTGGAATATACAACAATACAAATAACATACAAATTATCTCATATTACTCATTATATTTATTGAAACATAAAAATCATCTCATATTATCTTATTATACAAATAATGAAAAATGATCTTGTAACATAAGATATTACTTTTTATTTGTTAATATTGACATAGTTTATTTACTCAAAATACTTTTATCACCTCTGATGACAATTTGAGATTATCTGCTGACTAATTAATGTTAAGCTAATGATATTCAACTTTGATGTATAATTTTCTTATAATTACCAAATTCTAAAATATCTAAATTTTAAGGAAAAATTTACACACTTGTCTAAGTGTGGCAGAGGCACAAGAAGGAAAGGAGGTCGAGATTACTCTTCATTTTTCTTCTTTTATTGATCTAAGAAAGAATTCTGAGATTTAAGGCATAAATAAGGAATGTCTACTAAGAGTATTGAACACCATCATAGACAACATTTCTTCATATATAGGTTGTACTTTAACCCATCTGCTGCATATTTGTTGTTTATTTTAGAAACAACTTATTTTGTTGCACCATTTGAATTGTAGAATAAAGTTTTTTACTTCCTATATTTCACTCTTTGACTATTAGCCATTTATTTATTTTTACAACAATCATTCCCAACCAAGAGAAAATTCTACCCTGGGATATGAGGAATTAATTACATTTACACCTGAATTACACTTGATTTCTGAGGAAGAGACCTTTTAGATCTTCAGAAAAAGAATGTAAGGTATGATTTCCTATACTCTCTAATGTGAACCTAAATTTGATCCAAAATCTATTTAGTTTGTCTGTTGAAAAAGTATTTTGCAAGAATTTCTCATACTAAAAATGACTCTTAAGCAAAAGACATACTTGGAGGGAGATTAGTCCCTGATTTTTGGTTTTTAATGTTTGAGTCTTATCTAAGAGAGACAGAAAGAGTTATAAGGGTATTATTTTTATTTGTTTTAACAAATCAGACCTCTGAATTATATTGCAAAGGAAATAAATAGAAGAAATAGATTGAAAGTTAACAGCCCCAATTCCCTTCACTGAAGAACTAGTAAAGATAAAACAATAATAAGCAGCCCATTAAACAAAAAGTGACTCATACTTTTTTTAGTAATTGAAATGTTAATTTTTACACTTAAATAATTCACTCATTCCCTCACTCATTGGTGCTATAACTCATGAAGGATCTTAGCTTCCCTCGATCTTAGCCTCCCTCAACACACATGGCCAATTTTTTTTATCATCGGCTTTCTTTTAATAGCTCTTAATTTTCTTGATTTTTAGGTCTTGCTCAATTTCCTCAAGCCCTCATTTTCTGCGTCTTTAACACTTATCTTTCTTGTTATTATTCCCAAAAAAACCTTTTTGAAATTTTTTATTAATTGATGCAACCACTTTTAGACTTTATGAAGTTAATTATATTTTTGTCTTTTTATAGTTTTCCAATTTCTAGATTCGATCTAATTCTCCGAACATGGCCTTCCTTACAGGTCTTAAGTTCAAATATGTTTTGCCTAATTTTTCTTTGCCGAGTTCAAAGTAATTTTTTTTTCATATTATGTATTTATCCAGGTTTCACTTCTCTGGGTTATAACTGATCTCAATATTGTTTTGTAGATTTTTAGTGTTAACGTATGTGATATACAAAATGACCTAAATACTTTCAGAAGTGAAAAAGCATCCTGCTGTAAGTCTGGCCTTAATTTTAATGGAATTATCTTCTGTTATTATAGATAAGTGGTAAATTCAATTCAGATACTCTTTCAAACTCTACTCCATCATTGTTCTTTAAGGTTGATGAAACTCCTTTTTTCCTCCTGTCCATCAACATGTATTTGATCTTCTGTTTGTTCATTTTTAGTCTTATTTTCCTCGCTGCCTTTTAAAGTTTATTATACATTTAATTCGTGTTTTTTCCTTTCTACTTATTAAGACTACATCATCTTCAAGAACTAATATCAGTAAAAAACAGTTCATAATAGTACCATCTATTATTAAAGATTTCTCTGATAACTTTTTAGAGGCAAAAATTAAGAAGTAATGTTGAGAGAACATCACCTTGTTTTAATCCAGATTCAACATTAAATTCTTCTGATACTTCTTGTATCTTGACTGTTGCATTGGTCTTTACTTAAATAATTAGTTTGTTAATATATATCTGTATGATGTACAACATACAGTTGCACATTAAAGAATATGTCATTTGAGATTATTTGGTATTGTTCAAAAATAAAGTTAGCCATTTTTTATAGTTCTTTAGGTTGTCTTTTTAGACATATCTAAAACTTATGTTCTGAAAAAATTGTTCTGCGAAATTAAATACCCAAAATTTTACACAAATTTGTTTTACCATAATATTATTAAATATATAAATTATGTAGATGCACATTGTCTTTCATTTTTGCTGTTGAAAAGTGGTAGTTTTTTTTAAAAATAGTATTCTTAGTTTTGTCATTAAAAAAATGTATGGGAAAATACTATTCATAGCAACATTTTTATGATTTTCATTCCGAGATAAACTATATTTATGAGGATTACGATGTCAAGTGTGCTTAGTCTTCTACAAATTGGGTTGTGCCAGACTGGTGGGCAGTTTAAAAAGAAGTTCACCATCAGAGTTTGATAATTAGATCACCATCATGATCATCATCACCACCTGATGATTCACCATCAGAGATTGAAGCATTTCTTGTAATTGTGGTGAATGCACCATTCCTAAAGAATTTTGCTAGTGAATATAAATTGTACCTTCTTTTTAAAAAGTGTCAAAATAATGTAGGTTTTCATTTCCTTCTTGGAAAAGCTCCGGGATAGTTAAAAAGGCCCAGTTTATAAAGGTGATGTGACTTATTTGGTGAGGCATAAATAAAATTATTCATTAAGGAATTATTTCAAATTACATTTATGAGGATTTGAATGATTTACTGGCCTATGTCATAACATAGATTGCCACTAAGGACTATGATTTATTTTTCCAACAGGATCAATTGCTTATGATTAAAATAAGAGGTTGTTTTTGAAGTTGAGAGTGAATATGGTCTAAAATAAAAATTTTTACAGGATTCTGTTAAAATTTTGTGTTTTCTTTCTTAAATTTTTTAGAAGCAGTAGATTATTATGCAAAACCCAATTATTACCCAAAAGTTAACCCGGAAATTGGAAGGCAATTTTTGATTATTAGCATTTTGTTATTGATCTCCTTTTTAATATTGAAGTTTTATTAATTTATGATTGTTATACATAGTTCTTAACGTTACTATATGCTAAGTGTTTTTTTTTGTTGACAAAAAGACCCTTTTGAAGAATTTTTCCTATTTTTGAAATCAAGAGTTGCCACTGAGTATAATAAAATAAAAATTTCTGTTTAAAATTAGAGTACTTAGAATGCTTACTTTTGACTCAGGTGACCCAAGTCCATGCTCTTTCATGAGGTTGAATTTTTTTTATTGCATTTACTTTTATGTAAAATAAATATTCACTGCTTTATTCAATTAAGTAATTCTTTTCCCCAGATATTGGAGCGCCATATTACACTTAATCACTCATTAAAAGGAAGTGATCATGCTGCATCCTTAGAACCATCAGAAATCAGACATTTAGTCTGTGAAGTTAAGAGGATAGAAGAAGCCATGGGATCTTCTACTAAACAAGTGCAGGAGTGTGAAGTTTCTTGTCATGAGAAAGTATATACTTTTAGTTACATATTTTTATACCTATTTTTAAGATTTATTTATCCAGCTAGATCATATCAGATTTATTTATCTAGCTATTTTTAAGATTTATTTATCCAGCTATTATACTGCTCTAGCTTAAACTGATAAGCAAGACAATACCTCTCTTCTAATTTAAAAGTATTACAAAAATAAACTCTTCTGCATTAGCTACTCAAATGTATGTATGCTAATTATCACAATATGGGTTTAAGTTTGTATACAGATGGAAAAAAATTATAATCTTTTTCATTAATATTAAAAGTTACTTTAAATTACAAATTTAATAATCTAGAGGGGAAAAAATAGGACTTTGCTTATACTTCCTGAAGTATATTCAAATTAACAATTAAGGGTATATTTTTAGTGATTTTACCTCAAAATTGTGTAAACTGAAATCGTAACTCACTTGATAAACTTCAATGAAATAATTATATTTTTATGACACCGTCTAATATCTAAAGTATTTGTTTGAGGCTGTTTTTCACCAGATTACATAATTATTTGTCATTTTTCTTCACAGCGTAATGATTCAGATTTTTTCCCTTACACACTCTTAATTGTTAATAAGATAACTTTTGTTTCTAAATTTGAATTAAACTGATGCAATTAACAATATCATTTAGGAATAAGGGAAGAATACAAAATGTGCTTTATACACTTTTATTGTAATTATTACTTATTTTTTGGCAAGTTAAGCCAATTTCATGGCTCTGGCCCACTCCAGACAGTAATGGGAATGCTTTACTTTTTTATTGATTGAGTTACAATTTTAAAATTGTCTAAAGGAGGTATTTATCAATATCTCAATATTCTAAAGTTTGTTTTACAAATAGTTATCAAAAGCAAATCCACCAAATTTAATATTTCACTCCAAAAATCTAGTGCTTTGTTTGTTATATCTTCTTTTAAAGGATTCTATTAAAAAAAGACTGAAAGATGAACATTTAACATTACTTTTCAGAATTGAAACATAGCAATTGAAACCAAACTTGAACTATTTTTGGAGAAATGTTGTTGTAATTCATTTTATAACCATAAAGTATTTGTATTGATTATATTTTTTTCAAAAATTTATATTAAATTTTATTGTTTTGTAATAATGCATTAATATTTGCATAATCTTTTTAAAATTTTTGGAATAAATTTTATTTGTATGACAAATTTTTTACATTTTGGTTTTGGCCAGTTGTAATAAAAGTAATGTAAAAAGTATCTCAAAGTTATGTTTATCTAAAGATGCAATCTCTCAATGCAGTTTTTTAAAGCAAATATATATAATTTTTGCTATTTAGTTTAATGATGGTCGTTAAAAATTTTGAGTTGTAAGGTATTCAATTTTTGATTCCTTTTTAAACTGTGCACCCAACTTTGAATTGCAAAATCTAAATTTTGAATGAAATTAGTCAAATAATTATTGAGAAATGAAAATTGAAACATAACATGTTCCTTAACTGGTATTACTCACAAACTAATGGATCAATTTAGTTCAAATTTAATATTTTTTTGAAACTAAAAAGTTTTAATTCATATTAAAAGATGTATATTTTTTCCATTGAAATTTTGTTTATTACCATAAAATATCAATGAAGCTTCACCCAAATTTTGATGAAAATCACTGCAATGTGGGGGTTGGGGATAAATGAGAGCAAAGAAATAATGCAAAATTTTTTTTAAAAAAAATCGAACATATATAATAAAGCAGAAAAATTACTCAATTTACTTAAATATAAAACAAATGAAAGTTGAATTAGATTATTAAAATAAAATTTTATTATTTTAAATGACTTGCCTTTCTCCCCACTCTTCTTTTTCAAATTATTGCGATTTCATCGTCAAAAGCAATGACCAAGAGAGAATCAGATAGACATTGCGATATGGTCTTTTTTAACCATGTGAATATGAGTAACAACGTTTGACTTTTAAATCGCTTGAATTCGAATCTAATGAAATGTTCGAATTGGTGGGATTTGAATCGTGATAAGTGATTATTAAATTGTGTGGACACTCTTGTTTATTTAAAAAACACCATCAGGAAAATCTCTGAATTTCCATGGGTGTGTTCACGTATGGCTCACACACATTCGTCCATATGGATAAGTGCGCCTATTTTGAGGTGGATGGGGGCTTATTCGGTTTTGATCGCTGGTCAATATTAGTGGTTGGGACGTAATCAAATCTAATTCGGCATTATACAGTAGGGAACCGATTATCCGGAACGATCGGGACCATCGCTATTCCGGATTTCTGAATCGCTACAAAAAGCCGTTTTTTTATTATTAAACCCAACTAAAAAAAAAATATTTGGAAATAATCTTAAAAAGAAAAAAAATGATGAAGTAATACACTAATAATTATTTCCAAAATGATGGTAAGGTAAATATCTTAAAAAAAGAAAGAAAAATACTAAAATCTTAAGAAGAAAAAAAAAATTTTTAAAAGTCGCGGGAAAATTTATCGAATTTCGTTCCGGTTTTTTGGTTTCCCCGTTTTCTGATTTCCGGATAATGAGTTCTGTACTGTATGTATTATTAAATTACATTAAATGGTAAAAAATAATAAACTATATATTAAATTCATTTCATATGTAGAATTATGTTTTTGACGAGCTTTATAACTGTGTGTAAAATTATTTAGAAATTTGGCGAGAAGTAAAATTAATATTAAGTGTTCCAAAATTTCAACCATTCTTCCAACTTAGCTATTAGGACTATGTTTTGCAGATTGTGGCAACATCCTTTTTTTAGGGGCTGGGATAGCCTGGTTGGTAGGGCACTGGGCCCATGTCCAAGAGGTCGTGGTTTTGACCTGTTGGGTCAAATAGTCCACAATGTTCCCATAACAAATCATACCTCTGGGGGTACTGATCCAGGAGTTTCTTTGTCCTCTGGATTGGTTAAAAATTACAAGGCTACGGAGTTGAACATTAGTTGTCGTATACCCAAGAAATTGGGTCAGCTGTTCAACAACGGTTATAAAATTAAAATAAAACACCCCTTTTTTATTGGTCAACTCAAATTTTTCTAAAAATAAATAAAAAAAAATTTCTGCGAAAACATGTTTTTGTATCTAATATAGCTTAAAATATTGCCTGCACAAATCAGGTAGCATATTTAAGGTTAGACCCACAAACCATTTGGCTTTTATCTTGTTATGTGAAAAATTGAATCTGTAGATCAAAAGTTATCAAGTTGCTCTGTTATTATTTTTATTTTTTATGCAATGTCGATATATTTTTTATGTGTTTGCATATTATGAAGAAACAATGCTTTTTTAAAGCTATTGATGTCATTCCTTTTTCTTTTTGCTGAATAAATCGTAGGTAAACTGTTTTTTGGTTTATTCAAATGCATTGTATTTATTTTGCTTCTCACAGAAAGAATAGGCAGTTTATAATATATGAATTATTAAAAGTAATGTGAAATATGTTTTAATTCAATGGATTAAGATAATAGCTTCTGTTTTAAGTGTTTTATCTGTGATATTTTTAAATTAAAATTATTAGCTGTTTTTTTCAATTATAATTTTTATTGTTCAGTTGGGTAAAACCATTGTTACTACAAAGCATCTTAAAAGTGGAACCATTCTGGAAGAGGATATGATTGAAGTTAAAGTTGCGAGCAATAAAGGTTATGATCCCATTAACTTTTATGACTTGATAGGGAAAGAACTAAAACAAGATATGTCAGAAGAACAAACTATTATGCCTGATGACCTTATATAATAGTTTCTGTGATTATTTTTGCTGGAAAAGGGCCAGGTGCTTTGTTCAGTGGTGCCAATTTCAATATATTGCATTTGATTTGAATATTTTTTAAACCTTGTAAGAATTATTATAAGCTCAATCAAGAACATGCATGACAGATGCTTTTTTTTAATTCAGATTTTAATTTTTTGTTATAGTACTTAATTTTATTTTTTATCAAACACATTTTTAATGGGATAAGATTTGCCATGTAGTGTGGTTGCTAACTATTAGCAAAATTTTAAATTAATTTTAGCAGTGCTATGTTATTAAGCAAATAACAAGAGCAATGAAAAATTATCAACAGTTTTTACGAGCTATTTCTATTTATCTAATATTTTACCTTCGAATGATCTTTCATTGTATATTAATTATATAAGTTTTCTTTTAAACTTTAGGTAGTAATATTGTTAGAAAGGTATTTTTTTAAAACTTATATGCATTTGTTTAAATTTTTTAATTAAATGGCAAATTGTTTTAAAATCAAAAGCTTAAAAATCCATATGAAATAATTTTGATATTTTTACGCTGTGCAAGTATTAACTTTTCAATGCGAGAACTAAACTGATATTATTAATATTTTAATTTAAGGTTCAAATACTCTAAAATGGGGTGAATCATTGTAATTTGTAATTTCCAAAGCATGATATTTATATAAAAGGATCTTTTTCTATGAATATCTAGGTTAGAGTCGGAAGTCTCATATTAAGGCAAAACGAAAGGGATACCTTATATTTTTTTAAATTTCTCACTGTTTTTCAAATTATTGATCTGAATATTTAATGCAACTTGTGTTTGTTTTTTGAAACATTTAAAAGAAAACTGGAAATTAATAATAATGTAAAGCTATAAATAAGAATACACTTTAAAAGCAAGTATTGTTATAAAAGTACATTTTTGTCGAACATACTTATTTCCATATAAAATAATTATCAAATTTAAAAAAAATTAGATTATGAGATTAATTTTGAGTAATACAGTGTAATTTAATACAATGCACTCCCGATTATCTGGGTTTATGACCTTGATGGGTCGCACGGACAATAAAAAAGCACGGATAATTTGAAAACTCCTTTTTTTAAAGAAAAAAATCAACATCAGTACAATAAATATAAAAATCACATTTGCATGCTGTATAACATCAAACTATGAATTTTCCTTTTAACATTTATTGCTTAAAAGAATGTGAAATGCATCTTTGCTTCTGCTGTTCGTTCACCTGTTGCCGTATATTGACACATATTTTACGAACCACAGCAATGTCACCATAATCAAGTAATTGTTCTCCCATATAATCTAATAAAATTTCCACAGATTGTAGAGCAGCAGAATGAAAAATAGTATTTCCCTCATTTGCTACATCTTCTGCATCAATACTATCATCACTATTTAATTTAACAAGACAGTTAGTAGCAATGTCATCATCTGTCAAATACTGGAAGCCAGGCTCACATGCATCACTTTGAAAGCGATCTTCTAAATTTTCTTCATCAAGAATTTCGTGACCTTCGATTTCTTTTGCTTGTTCAAGAATACTGTTATCATATTCTTGAATATCTGAAGAAGATTGTTCATCAAGTGGTATGATCTTTCTCCATGATCGTGACAGCGGAGACAATTTTACCTTCTACCATGCTGCTGATATTCCATATACTGCATCCAATAAGGAATATTGCTTCCAAAAATTTGGTAGTGTTCTAACTTCATGAATCAAATTTTTCAAAAGTTCAGATCTGTAGAGCCATTTCATTGCTGAAATTACACCTTGATCCATAGGCTGTATCGCTGCTGTAACATTTGGAGGGGGAAATTTACCGGTAATCAATAAGTTATCAGAAGCTAGCAAACTTTCATTTGGATGTGAAGAGGCATTGTCTAAAAGCAATACTGCCTTTTGGGATAAGCCTTTTGCTTGTAAGTGTTTCCTGACTTCAAGAACAAAATGTTTATGGAAGCATCGGACAAAAATGTCCCTTGTCATCCATGCCTCCTTTTGATTGAAATAAACTGTAGGTAATTTTTTGATTCTGTACCCTTAAGCGAGTGGGGGTTCTTAGCCTTTCCGATCATTACGAGTTTCATTTTATGGCTCTCTAAAGCATTTCTACAGCACATGATGGTAATGCGCTCTTTGGACAATTTGTGGCCTGGAACTGACTTTACTGCCCTTGAAGCAAGTGTTTTTGTTGGGAGACATTTCCAATACAATCCTGTCTCATCGGTATTATAAATTTGATCGAGAATCACGTTTTCTTCATCAATAAATTCTTTAAATTTCACACAAAACAATTCTGCAGCAGTCACATCCACACTTAGACGTTCCCCTTCAACATTTAACTGCCGAATTTTATAGCGTTGCTTGAATCGAGTGAGCCAACTAGATGAAGCATTTAAAATCTCCTTCTAATCCTAGTGCTTCATGAAAAAATCTCACTTTTTCGGAACACATGGCACCCAAAATAGGTATACCTTCTGCTTTTTATTGATTGAACCACTGTAAAGCAGAATCTAGATCTTTGTATGTTGACGTTTTCAAACTTTTCCGTTTCGAAAGTGCAAATTCGTCATTACAATCTCTCATGAAGGTAATGAGTTTTTCTTCGTTCTTTTTTATATTGTGTACAGTTTATACTCCAATTTCATAATCCTTTGCTAATTTGCTAGCTGATTCTCTAGTATCAAGTTTTTGAAGGATTTCTAATTTTTGTTTAACATTTAGAACATTTCACTTTCATTTCACACCATTCATTTTTACTAGTAAGGAATTTTACGCTACTAACTGACGGTAAACAAGACGCACATACTAAACGAACACATGTAAAAATGAGAGAGGACAGCTGAACAACATTCCGATCCCTCTCATCTCCTTCAACCCTACCACGTCAAACAGGTTTCATAGCTTTTGATTTGACCTCTATGCACTTCACAATACTATTGTAGCGATTATTATCAATAAAAACATTCATTCTGCTTAGTTTCATATCCTGTTAATAGATGTCATGTCGTGACTATACTGCAAAACTGATTTGACAAGATTCTACATCAACAAGATTCAATATAGATTTTACATGCATGATAATCTTGAAAATGTTTCTCTATAAATGTTTTTGTGACTGTGGAATGAGCATGGATAATCCGCACACTGGATAATCCGCACACCCGATAATCCGCACACGGATAATCGTGAGTGTACTGTATATATATTAAATTAAATATTCATACTTATTGGGAAATGTTTTTGTTTTTGTTGTAAGTTTCATTCTGATTCATCCCATTCATTCTATTGTTTCATGCTATTGTTTCATTCTATTGTATTGATTGTTCATTCTATTCAACAGTATCACATTAGTTTTTTATTTGCCATTTACGAAATATTTTCATGTCAAGTATCAATTATTTTGGCTGTAGCACTACATGTAAATAACAGTTTATGGCTTTCAAATATTAAAAAGAAATTCTAATATATTAAATGGCCAAGAAACTTTTTCACTATTTAGCTGTAAATTAAGCAATTTCCTTTCATTCCAGACCCAACTTTAAATCTTTCACATTTTAATAAAGTTTTTAAGTTATTAATAATATTTAAATCATATTATTATAATAATATTTAAATCACATTATTAATAATATTTAAATCATATTTTACATAATCACTTAATTGTTGAGATATTACTTATCAAAAGTGAACAAGTTCATGCTAAGAATTTTCAAGAATATCTTCATCAAAACCCAAAGAATAGTTATGCGACTGGATTTTAAAGATTAAATTACAAAGTTAGGCAAAAGAAAAAACATTTTGAATTTTGCAAAATTAAATTTTCTAGATAAATTTTTATAATTCATATTTTTTTTTTATTATTTTTTATTTTTGACTTGCTTACTTTGATTAGAATAAATTTAATTTGATTTTATAAGAATGATATTGTATGTAGAATAATTATATTTCGCCAGTCTAGTCATGTGTTTGTTGTTAGCTATTATATCATAATTTATTATTTATTTTAATAAAGCAATAATTTGATAATCTGTAATTTCATTTGAGAAGCTGGATCCCTGGTAGCCGAATCCCTCTAGTACGTCAGTGAGCGCAAGTAAGAGAAATTGCTTAGACTAATTTTTTTAAAAATCTGTTAACTATTTTCTAATAAAAATTAAAGGAGAGAACACTATAAAGAACAATAAGTAACGATATTTTTTCTTTTAGTTACTTGATTACATGCTTAACTGTAAAAAGATTTATTCCATTTTATATTTCTAGCATCAATTTCAAAATTTATACAACACCGGATCTGTATTTATAATTTTTTAGGACCTTTTTTTTCAAAATTTTCTGTATGTATGTTAGCATAAGCTGGAGTTTTGCAATAATCTTTATTTGACTGTATTGCTGTCAAATTTGGTTTTATGAAGATAGTGCTGCATATTCACTCCATAAATTCTGCTACCAGGGCTGTATCTCTATTGAGATTGAGTTCCAATTGTGGCTTTGTTTTTAACAGGTATATGTGTATATTTAATAAATATATTAACTATTTTTTTTAGTGTTTTCTTGAGTTTCTTTTTACTCAGAATTGCATATTTTATGAAATATTGGAATAAATTTATAATATTTATAAAAATTTCATTTGAAACTGGTTTCCTATAAAAGAATAGGTGTCATATTTCCTTAGACTCTCACATATAATATATCAAGAAATAGGTATGGAAAATTTAAAAAAACAAATTATTAAATCACAAGACTCTTAAAACAGTTCATGTTGTTTGCACTGCTATTAAATTTGTAATTTCACTGGGACAGACTATGTAGATATTCTTTTTAGCAAGAAAAATAATAGGAAGGACAGCATGGAAATAAAACTTTTATGATAGTAACAGTTAGGGTAAAAAGAAAAAAAAGTGTTTGTCAAACTAGTTAGTTTTATTTGTGGACAGGATAACTTACTTTATCTACCACTGATTACTTTAAAATATAAAATTACTCGAGTAGTGTCTAGAACAATAGTATAATTTAGATAAATTACAATTAAAGTAAAAGCAACAATAAATAGAATATTACATTAGATATACCAATGTATTTGCAGTCACTTTTTATTTTTTCCCTAATTTCATTAATTATGGAAATTTCATTTCCCTAATTGCATTAATTTTTATTTATAGCAATTAATAATAGGAAAAATGAAATGTTCTTTCAGAAAACTGAGCTTAAGGGCCATTCTCATTGCATGTGAAAAATTCATAAATACGAATTTTGAGATGTCAACAAGAACCGGATAGGAAATTTTTTTGAGAGTCTGGTTCTAATTCTCATCTCTGAATTAGCATACGCGACTTTTTTCATATGCAGTGAGAGTGATCCATCGAAAACAGTGCCTAAAAATATAATTTGTAAAATAAATTATATAAATCCGAAATTCGTGATCTCAACACTCATATACGTTATCTGGTGAGAAAACCGGTTCCGTGTCTAGAGCCTCCCGGTTCCTTCTCTGCTCAGGTGTATGAGAATGTATTACAATGTTTCCCCCTACCTTATTATTTTTCGCATTTAGATTAACAAAAATATATTTTAAACTTTCCATGATACTTACGTTAAGCACTACGCTTAAGGCAATTTTAAGTACCATATAGTTCCCATGCTTAAAATTTTATAATCAGTTTGAAAATCAAGATAGCAACTATGATTATCCACAAGCATACCTAGCGTTGCCATAGATAAGGAGTTCTGCTATTTGCCACCTATAGCCCTTTTTGATAGCCAATTCAAAATAAAATAAATTCAAGTAAATATTTATTCCTGTTTTAAAATTTTCAAGAAGGTGTACAAAAGAGAAATCAGAATTGATCTACATAAAATTATTTTCCATATACATTAAAAATTTATACACATTTTATGTTTTTTTTCGATCACGTATTGTCAGCAATAAGAAAGTTATTTTTTCAATGCATCGCAATAAGAAAAAAAAGTGTTTTGGATTCTTTTTACTTCAATTCGCGGTACACATTATTTAATACGGAGAATTTAAGCAAACGCAAAAATTTAATAAGCTGTAAAGGGCAAAGTCTTGTAGTATATTCATCTTTTCCTATTTAAAGGCAGCAGAAATTCGATACATACTGCTTGGAATCATTCCGTTATTTCAAGAAAAATGGATTCCAAAAATTCAAAATAATAATGACCATAAAAATGCCTTTAATGGATGAGAAAGTTTATACTAATTTTGATTTACTGAGGTAAAATTTTTATTGTCTAACAGCAACTCATACGAAAATTTCTTATTTTATTTTATTTATTTTTTTAAGCGGGGAAAAAATCAAGCCAAAATTTATTGGTGATCGAAATGGGCTGCAGGTGGCGTAGAGCAGAACTCTTTTCCTATGACAACACTTCACATGCTTCTCCATTAGCGTGTGGAAAGTCATAGAGGAAGGAAGTACGTTAGTTTCTCTCTTGATTTTCATATAGATTAAAATCTTTTAACTTGAAAAACTATATGGAACTGAAAACTACATTAAACATAGTTCTAAATAAAAGTATCACGGAAATTTTGGAAAATATTTTTATTAAGTAAAAAGGAAAAATATTAAGAAAAGGGAAAATATCGTAGTACATTCCTATATAACTGAAAAGAGGAGGAGAGGGAAGGGAGAAGGGCTAAAGGCATGATACCGGTCTCTCCCCAGATGGCGTATTCAAGTGTTGCGATCGCGAATACAAGGAGACCGTATTATTTATTTTTCTCAACTTTATGCGCTCTGCATTGATCGTTATTTTGTCTAAGATCGAGCTTTATTTTAATGTGTAAAGCATTTTTTGCATAGAAACTCAACACGAAAATAAAATATTGAAAGAATAATTGATTACTGTGATAAAAATTTTCATGCGTTAGGTTTTTCAATATATATATATAATATGATGTCTGTAAAAATACTAGGAAAGTTTTTCTGATCAGAAACAACAAGCGAGATGATCACCTAGAACCTCAGAAGATAAGTATAATGTTACATGATGGTAATTCGTAGAATGAAATGTCACTTCATGTAATCGAATCTGCAAATCATGCTAAGTGAATGGCAGAGGAAAGATTTTATTAAAGAAAATTAACGTATTTTCTTGCTTGCATATAAGTTTTATCTTGATTTCTACCATCAGAAGCAAATAAAGTATTTTATCGTAATTTCTTCATGCGTCAATTGTTAATTTATCAGGATATTGATCGAGAAATTAGCACAGAAGCTGTAAAAATAATATGACTGGTTTTTAGGCTCCCGAAATCTGTTGCTTTTCTTTACTTAATGACATCTCCAAAACCCGTTAAAACAAATAGATTTGCTATTTATGCTGAAAGCAAAACCATGCTTATGCAAAACCATGGATAAATGTTAAACTACAAGATTTGAAGAAAATTTTCCTCTCCTTCATATCTATCTATCTGGAAGTGGTCTGATGAATGAGTGGTGCTGCCATCTACCCGTGGGGTTCACTCTTTCATCCTAGCGGTGCTCTCCTGTAAAACGAAAGGAGATCCTTCCTGACTTAATTCGCAAGTTCAACGGCTGACGAGCTTAGCCTGTCCAAGTATCAATAGAAACAACAACAAACATATGTGGATGATCCTAGAGACTCGTGAGGAGTTAAATAACTTGAGAAGATAGTTGTTGTGAATTAAACTGTGAAAGGAGTTGTCAAATTAAATTTAGAATAAAATAATATTCTCACAAAGTATGAAAATGAGAATACATTTATTTAACAAATTATTGTCGAAGATTGAATAATACCCTCTTGCTATTATTTCAGGAAAAAAAATTGTTTTCGCAATTCGTTCGTTTATTATATGTTTTGATTCTATAGCAATGATTACTCTAAATAAAAATGTATAGAAATTAATGTATTATTTGAAGGAAAAAAAAAACATATAATTTAAAAAAAAAAAAAATTATTTTAAGAAATTCAATAATTTGAGAGTTGATTACCGGGTACTAAAAATCTTACAACCAGGTTTTAAACAGATTTTAATTTTTAAACATTTATCATTAATTTTCAAACTCATTTCCATCAGTGAATTTACAAAGCTACAGGGTGATGGAAAACTGCAATGTGTCTTGAATTTTTAAAATAGTTACAGATTTTACGAGAGTCTCAAATAGACAAAATTCTGCAAAATACGAATTGTTATAAGAGTGGAGATTCCGAACAATATAAATCAATCGGAAAGTTAGTTTTCTTAGTTATTTTAGTTTTAGTTATTTAATTTGATTTGTTTTGTATTCCTAGTTTTTTGCTAAACATATTTTTTTTCGTTTTGTTCTCGGCAGCAAATATGTACTCAGCAATAAAATTATGTTAAATATGTTCTCGAGTCGTGATGTCATTTTTAAACATACTTATCATGAATAAAACACGAAAAAAGTTACAGAGATGGACATACTATAGTTTCGGTTTTTTAAAAAGGAACCTTCTTCAGTGTGTTAGCATAAAGTGACAGTAGAAAATTTACTAGACATACCCGTTATAATAAATAAAGTAAAAAAATGTAAGATCTTGCAGCAATAAATACAAGATTTTGCACAAGCTTGAACAAGTTAATAAAAGAAGGTAGATGAGAAGCAAATATGAGGCAGTTGAGTGCCAGTTTTTCCAACTTGTGGTTTTCTCTCAACACCCCCACGCCGGTCTCTTATCTACCTTCTTTTATTATTTTGTTCAAGCTTGTTCCTCTTCCCCAATTGGGGCTAAACTTCTTTTTTTGTTGTTGTTTCACATTACAATGTGTTTTTCTCCTTACTATTCTACTGTTATTTTGCTTACTCACTAAGGAATGTTCTTGTTTATAAAATCGAAATAATAGTTCTTCCATTGTTGTACCTTTATTTTTGCTTTATTTGTACATAGCAAAGTATACCATGTCCTCATTTGGATACACTTTTTCATGTCGTTTTCTTCTTATTGTTTGTTTTTGTTACCATTATTTTAGGACATTTTAATGTATTGGCTAAAAATGATTTTATGCTATGGTATTGTAGGGTATCTACCACAACAAAATTACAACTACAATTCACTAGTATATAAGACATGTTAACTCGACTCTATGTCGGGGTACCTTTTCATAGAAGACGGTTGACATGGTTGATCACTACTATACCCACATTGGTGACCTTCGGACGTGATGTGAACACGCCTACCTTGGCAGTAACACCCACTTCGATATGAACACGCTTACCTAGACAGTAACGCCTACTACAATGGATGATCCACATTGAACAGTTGACTTGCTACTTGTGACTGCGACTTTATCCACCTCCTCGCACTGTTGCTACTCAGACTCGTCTCGATCACGCACAACGTAGGCTTGCATACTTGTGATTACTCGACTGCTAACGGCAACACAGGAGCGACTACGACCGTGAAGTTAATACACCTCTCACATTCAGCACTCAAAAAAAATACGGTGATCTTAATATAGCTCTCCCGGCTTCTCACAAAACAGCAATGAATTAACTAGTGGTATCTGTTCATCGAATTCTATCACATATATA